GCGTAACTCGTGGCATTTTTTTGAGATATCGTGCGAACAGAAAAGGGGAGAAAGAAAGAAGAATAAAAAAAAGATGAAGATGATGATGATCCTGACAATAACAATAGGTGATCCGCACTAGTTGCGGATCACCAATAATACTTGCAGCATCATTGATGTGCTGAATTACATATCGTGGTTCTGTGACTAGCAGCTTTACTTATATAGAGGCACTTAAACTAGGCTGGCTAAGACAGTGTAGCAGCTGATGATGCCATAACTCAAAAACATGCTCAAATTTTCACAGCAAATTGCTAGGAAAATAGGTGGCTGAATCTTAGTTACTGCATACACACATTGAATTGTATTTGGCACACATTACAGCATTTACAGGCCTATAGCGCGATTTCATTAAGGTTTTTTGTATTTTCTACTAGTAATACGGTAGCGATGAACATATAGATATAGACCCATAGGTCAAGGCCTAATTTTGCTCAAAATTCACATGGATTTTCTGAAATGTGCAGATGGATTTCCAGGCCTAATTTTTCCAAGGAGACAGTCTGTGCACTTGGTGCACATTATTCCTCGACAGGAGCTGAAATGAACCATAGCATTGAAGTAACCACCTACTCTGTACAAAAGATACAATAAGTTCATTAAAGTGCACATGATCAAGATATACACTGGTCCTCTATTCTAAAGTCTTTATCTAAGGGACTTGGTTCTAACAACTGAACTCTTTTTAGTGGTGGCACTGCCGTACTGCTTGGCCACTTGACTCAGATGAGGTTTAAAAAGCAGTTTTACCTAAAAATTACCCATCTAATCTCTACTAATACAGTACTTGAAATTTTTAACAACCCATTGCCATATTTTGCACACACAGGACAAATAATAATAATTCCATTCTTCTATATAGCACATTTCGCAAAAAGCCTTAATGCGCTTTATAAAAGGAAAGAAAACAAGTTGTAAATAATTTTGACTTAAACTACGGTACATAAATTAAAAACAGTTCCAAAAAGCATCAAGTGCTATGGTACAGAAACAATTGGTTTACTCGGAGAGAGAAACAATTTCATTTTTGTTTCAAGATTGTTGGAAAAAATTTAAAATCGGTCTGCCTTTAAAATCCCTAATTGTCATATCTTCTTCCAGGGCCCCCTTTATCCAAGGGGTTCTGAGCAAAGCTTTCACCTTGCCCACCTACATTGGCCTTTTTGTCTTGGACATTACTCTACTTCTCCCCTAACCTATCTAACATGCTATTATTTTTTTTCATTTTTTGTGACTTAAGAGGTTGCTATTCAAATTTGTTTTTACTCTTTTCATATTGATCATTATTTGGGTTTTTATTTGTAGCTAGATAATTACACATCGTGGCAAGGAAATTGATTAGTGATGTCAACAGAAAACAAAACCAGTGCACGAAAAATTGCCAGAGTTTTCTTTAGCTCTCCGTTTGGTGGTCTTGAGGAGGAACGTGAAGAACTGACAAAGAAGTATTGGCCGAAGCTCTCCCATCAGTGCTCTAGTGCTGGGTATGAGTTTGTACCAGTGGACATGCGATGGGGTATCACGTCAGAGCACTCAGCGCAAGCAGCTACTATTGCCATTTGTCTGCGGGAATTGGATCGATCTGATATAGTTGTTGGGTTCTTTGGACAGGTAGGAAACATCTGACAAGTTAAAAATAGAAAAAAAAAAAAAGGTTGTTGAGCAGTTGTTCAGGATATGCAAATAAAAAAAAATGTCAGCAAGAGATATCCTTATCAAATCCCCTGTTGACAAAGACAACACCAAGTAAAATAGTATACTTTAAACATTAACATAGATTAAATGCAACAAGAATACATTTATACAGTGCAGAATATATCCAGGCAAGTGTGTGGAGCATGTGGGAAGAATCCCCATTATAAGTGGAAACCCTATTTGTATCATTTAGTCTATTTTGTGAATACTTATCTGGGTAAACCGACTAATTGCCTTTATTCTCGAAACAGAACACCTCTTTGAATAATAGAGGACAGTCTGACCCAGTGTGTAACGTTCAAATCTTCCCCCTAACAACAGTCCTCATTCCCTAGAGAGTGGTCCAACTGATCACAGAGAAGGTAAGAAGGGAGGAAATGCACAGAGTAGTTAGAACCAAAGAAAGAGGTCAGATATTGAATTGGTGGCACGCACCCTTGAACTTAAGAATGTCAGGTGTGTCAAACTCAGTTTCTCATTTTTGACTGCCTGACTTCTATTCTACTTGTTTATTTCGCAACAACGCCGATATTATGGCTGTATGTTGCGGCACCCATGCCTTAACCACTCTGCCATTCGACTTGCTTCAGAGTAGAGCTAACTATGTAATTGTTCATCGTTCAGTTTTTGTTTTAGTTCCTGAAATTTTCATATTATTTTCAAGTCAATACTTACCCAAACTGATTTGATTTTTATCACTTTAACAGCGGTACGGGTGGCATGGACTACATGATGAAATGCTGCAAAAGACATTTGATTTTGCATTACCTTCCTATCCTTGGCTGGCATCATTTAGGGATCGGTCTGTCACTGAACTTGAGTTCCTTCACGGCCATCTCAACAATCCAGGAGCAAGACCCGCATGTTTCTTCTTTCGTGATAAGGTAAATTTTGATGGAAGAATACTTTTGCCAAAAATAATGAGACCAAAGAATAAGACCAAATCATAATTCACTAGAGGGTACTAGGAGAGAGCATACCTCCGCCTACCTCCTCAGTATAAATGGGAAAGAAAAACAAAAAAACAAGTAGACTCCTTGGGATTTGAACCCAGGGATGGTAGTGTGGAAAATACTTTTCTTACCACTACACTAAACTGCTTCTACATACTGTACAGTATATCACTTTGAAATTAATGGTCATGTGAGCCCATATAAGCACACACACATACCTCTATATGGCAAAAAGTTATACAAGTTTTCGATCATGTTGTCCTTGACCTTTGACCCTGACCCTTCAAAATTTAGTCACTTCCAGATCTCTGGTAAAGAAACATTGTGGCCAAGTTTGACAAATTTCTGATAAAAACTTTTACAAAAAAAAAAAAATCGTTTTTTGTTGACTGTGACCTTGAACTTAAAACCTTACTTTTCAACATTCAAATACTTTGAGGTCTTTGGTCATGGAACTTTGTGACCACGTTTGACAAGTTTGTGATTAAAACTACACAAATAAATTTTTAAAAATGGTTTTCGTTGATTGTGACCATGACCTTTGACCCTGACCCTTCAAAAATTTAATAATCAGCTCTAGATCGACCTTAGGTAAAGGAACATTGTGGCCAAGTTTGACGAATTTCTGTTAAAAACTATGGGCTTTAGGCTGTTCACACAAATATGCCAACAGACAAATAAATAAATCAACAGAGGCAAAAACATAACCTTCTGCCAACTTCATTGGCGGAGGTAATGAGATCTTTGGTCATGGAGCATTGTGACCATGTTTGACAAGCTTGTGACTAAAACTATTTTGATAAAAAAATAGTTTTTCATTGATTGTGACATTGAAATAAAAAACCAAGCAAGAGTATAACCACCTGTAAACTTCGTTGGCGGAGTTAATTATTTTTTTTCTTCTTTATACTGGGTAACCTTTTGAGTAGAAATATACTGGTAGAGTTTATTGTAACTCCCGGAGACTCGGATAACTAGATGCAAGGGTCTCTACTAAAACCTCGTTTTAATATCAATCAATAACTGCAGAGTGTGCAATGGTTACTGGTGGTTTTGTGAAAACTGCAATGAATAAGAAACAGTTTAAAACTATTATAAAATATGTAGCTAATGAACTGACGACTTATACTGTATATGTATTCTATTATTAATAAACGATAATCTAAGTTATGATATATACCTTCTTGCATCCATGAATTCTGTGTTTCAAACAACTAACAAACTATTACAATAGGCCTAGACCTATGTCAAACATGTTCCTTGTCCTCGTTAGTTGTTGTCGTTTCACCTCGATACACACTTTGACCTACACAGTTATAGAGGGCGCTACCTCTACTAACACTAAATTTACAATAATTTTCTCCCACAGTAGGGCCCAGCTGAGCATTGAACCTCTCTTGAGTGTCAATCAAACTTAACAACTGACCAATCAGAACAACATCAGGAATATGTGCATGTCCAACAAAATGTGTTGTTCCACAAATGAATATGTTTACATACATTCACTCTATTGTTTTGTGGGACCTAGCAAAAGTATCCAAGGGTGGGGCTTAGCAAAATGGACTATTGACCATGAAATACTCACAGCTACAGTATGTATAGATAAGGTAGGAATACATATAACTATATAAATATTTTATAATTCTTGGTCTGTTAATTTCTTGAAGGCATATGATGAATCTCAAAGAATGAAGTTTGAGAAAGAGGGTGATGGAAGAAGTGCAAGAAAGTTTACACCAACATGTGATGGTCCTAATGCTGCTGAGATGCTAACAGCTTTGAAAGAAAAAGTGTCTGAAACAAAAGATCAGGTATGAATAAACAATATGTTGCCAGTTGTCCATACTGCCAATCTTCTAAGTATAATGTTGGAGAAGCAATGCTGATGCTCTTTGTTCTAAATCAAATTGTAAAATATTTTTTATATGGCCCCTTAAGAGAGGTGGTCTCAACGCCTCTGAACTTGAAGCGCATTTAAATTTTATGTACTTCCTTCTGTTGAGTAGTGGGTTCCACTGTGGCACCCTGGTCTTACTCAACAGCATGATGAACAAATTGAAAGATCTACAGGTGCATCCGTAGGGACAAACTCTGTACGAAGTTTGCTCCAACTGCCTCTAGATCTGTACGCCACTCTCAATGGTTTTACTCTAAATGACAGATATCACAACATGGCTCTTCAAAGTTCAAATAAATATAAATTATAAAGTGCAAAACCATGCCTTTTCTAAATAGCACGATCCCATTTGACAAGAATTCTCATAAATGATCTGTTCCTGTGGTATTTCTTCCCTTTTTACCTTTCTCGGTCAGGGCTCGTCCAATGTTCTTTTATTTTTAGATTGTAATGTATATTTAGTGAATTTTTTTCTTTTGGTTTTTAAATGTATAGGCTTTTTAACAATTTTGTGTCGCAATACAGTTGTTATACTCTATGACCAATCTTACCAATTTGTAAATTGTTTTATTGTTTTGAAATAAAAGATCAAAAATTGAAATAAATAATGTTAACGATGGTTAGTGTACCAGCAATGTCATAATTTCATTTTCCAGACAGCCAAAGAGTTTTTGTACTTTGATTAGAAAACAGGCCTGAATAATAAGTGTGAATAAAATTTAATTTTGTTTTTAAGAAATATGAAAATTCAGAAAAGAAAAAAATAATTCTAATTTTTATCCCACCTACTGCCAATATTTTTTTTCCAAATTATATAAATATACATTTACATGGCTAAAATCACATTTTTTACATTACAGTTACGATATTGAGTACCTAAGTATGCCATCAATTACATTTTACTACACTTATTCACATTTTATTAATTTCTCAAAATTTTATTTTGATTTTTTTCTCTGCCCAAAGATTATTTAGGTAGAACCATTTTCCTTATTAACATAGTGTAGAAAAGTCTTGCCTAAATTGTCATACAAACACAATTACCATATTTAAATGGCTTAAATATGCGATTATTTTTTACTTCACTTTACACAAGAGTCTCAAGTTGCATGAAGCATGGACTAGCTCGTAAAGTAACTTTCTCATTCCCTAAGTGTCTCTTCGTGACTGAGATACCCAGTAAACCGGTGCCCGCTACCCTTATCTGTTCACAGTAGGTGCTTTATGGACCAGTACACCAGGTTTATTCCCTACAGTACTTGTATCATAAGATGTACTGGATATATTATAGTGCGCATGAGTCAATTGTGCACACAGGACCTACTGTTTATAGTCCTTAATAATATAAAGAACCATAAACTGCCACTCAAACCAGTGCTCCTGCCTTAATAGACCTTTCCGCTAAGCCCCGCCCCTTGGATATTGTTGCTAAGGTCCCACAAACAACATCATCTGTCTCTTATACACATCTAGATGTGTATAAGAGACAGGAACAACATCAGGAATATGTGCAGCAAAAACATCAAACTGCTCCTCGCTATGGGTTTGTCTGGTAGACCAAGACTTCAAATGAAGGTCCAGTGCACACATCTGGCTCGTGTGCATTTCGGAAGAGTACCCCGATGCTGTGTTTCATTAATTTAATTTAATTTAATTCAATTTATTGGCACAAATGGCCCAGGGGCTGCGCAGAAACTTAGTGCCATAACACCACAAGTGGTGCTCACAACCCCAGGAACATAAAACGGTACAATAAAATTACAGTATTAATATCTATACCTGTCTCTTATACACATCTAGATGTGTAAAATGAAATCCTACCGTTGAGCTGTATGCTTGTTTACCCTGTTGAAATATAGGACATGCCGTCTTCCACAAGCCATATTCCACTGACAGTAGGCCTAGGCAATTTTTTTTTCTCTTTTTTTGGCTTCACGGTAAAGGTTTCCTACTGCATAGTCATATCATCGACGTCGCTTCTCGCACTGCACAAACTCGTAACTCGTGTGTGTTTGTGTGGAAAACGTGTTTGTAAACAGCGCGTATATGCCTTGTTCTGATTGGTTACTTGGAAGTTTGATTGACAGCCCGGAAAGGTCTATTGTTCTGCCATTTGACTTGCCTATGATATGCCATAATGATAGAGCCTTGTGATAGTAAATATTTATTTTCTTTTGAGTAGTTCAGCCATTTCAAAGCATTCAAAGGCATGTATATTAAAACAGAAATAATATAACAACAAACAGTATCAATACATGATTTAGTATTATATAGCGCATTTTTTTTGCGCTATTGTGGCACTTTGAATCAAAATGGTGGTTACATCATATCATTGCAAAAGTTTAAAATGAATGATCTTCTTGTATAATGTTTAAGGTATTGGCTTTGCATACTAGCTACCACACCCCAGCTGAAGGAGCCCGGTTGATGTATGAAGCTGTCCACCACTACCTCAAAGACAATTTACTTGCCCACGGTGGAAGGGCAATGACCCCAAGAGAGGAGGAGTTGTCAAGACATGATGCTTACTACCTTGGTCATCTAGGAATGGGAGGGAAATGCCATGGAGCTGATAAGAACTACCAGGAGTTATACGACTATGTCTCACCAGAACATAACAGAAGTATGCAGAGACATACATTGGTTACTGGACTACCTGGTAAGAACTGACTGATCGTCACATATTATGTCAATATACCGTATTTATTCGAATAAACGCTACGGGGCGTTTATTGTTTTTGAGGGCGAATTTATTTGATTGATGCGTCTATTCAAGGAAGTTGTTTATTTTTTTGGTGTAAAATGGATATATATGTACTCAAACGAAACTTAATTTCACAGTAAATGTGGTACTATAACACATAATTACCATCAAGTGTGTTATTGCGTGATCATAATACTTATCGATCCCAACAAATTGTAATTCTTCTGTAGTAGAACATTAATAGAGTTGTTGAGAATAATGTTACTTCGTTTAGGGGGCATTTATTCAAGGACATTTCTTCAAAGCGGGGCGTTTCTTCAAATAATAACAGTAATAGTGTCGGTCTACAGCCGTAACATCAGCAAAAACATCAAACTGCTCCTCGCTATGGGTTTGTCTGGTAGACCAAGACTTCAAATGAAGGTCCAGTGCACACATCTGGCTCGTGTGCATTTCGGAAGAGTACCCCGATGCTGTGTTTCATTAATTTAATTTAATTTAATTCAATTTATTGGCACAAATGGCCCAGGGGCTGCGCAGAAACTTAGTGCCATAACACCACAAGTGGTGCTCACAACCCCAGGAACATAAAACGGTACAATAAAATTACAGTATTAATATCTATACAAGCAATTATTCAAATTTATGGGAACAATAAACATTTTTAAAAACATTGAAAATATACAATACTGTACAAATTAATTTCAAAAAGTTGTGTGTGATTGAGTGCACTTTAAAGAACCCATTGCATCTTTCGGAGGACTAGAGGGTTACCACGATGTTGGGGTTCATTTCAGCCCCATGTCATTGTACTGTAGAATAATGTGAACATGTAGCTAATATAAGCATCTCTTTATGGCGGCTTGGTAGTCACAGACCACACCCATACGCAATTCAGCACAATGATTCTGCAAGTTATTAGTTACCGTCGTGTGATCAAGTTTTAAAATGTATAACGGTGTATACTATTATAACCTGAGAGTTATATTAGGAAGTCGAGTTCCTCTTAGTTCATTTTCAAATACAATAACAATAGCAATGGCAATATCAATATTCAGCAGCAGCTTCTGCTGCAATATTAATATTACTTTTATTAATATTAATGGTAATGTGTAATATTGTTTCTCAAGTAGTAATTATGTGTTTTCTTGTTAGATGTATTGTTCTATTATTTTTGTTATTTCTTTTAGGAAGTGGCAAAACTTGCTTGTTAAGTAACTTCTTGATCTCGTTCCAGCAGAAGTTTCCCGCATCGGCAATCATTTACCATTTTGTCGGAGCATCAAGTAAAAGTACAGGTAATCATACTATAGTTTGGTAGCTTGTGGCGCAGCCTGTGGCGCAGTGTGTTCTAAGCATTGGGCTTTCAATCGGAAGGTTGGAGTTCACACTGCTTGTGTCCTTGGGCCAGACACCTTATCTGCATTTGCCTCTCTTCACCCTGGAGCAATGGGTACCTGGTAGGAGGTGAATGATTCGTTATGAAATTAGTAGTGCTGATTACATGCAAAAAATAGGAATACTCCCCATGGAGCGGAGGAGGTTACACTTGCATAATTGATTCTGTATCCAGTGATCAAGGATAAATACAATGATAAGAAAATAATAATTATTATAAGTCAGAGGTGATGTCATCACTTGCATTGAATTTTCCTATTCCCAACTGATCACTATATCGATATAATACTTCCAATTGTTTGCGTCTTGTGCAAAAAATCTCAAAGCTGGGGTGATTTTACTATAGTACTGTGGCATTAGTATACTTATGGTAACTTGACCACTACAATGAACCCACTCTAAAGTAGACCACAGGCTGCCATAGCCTTTAATGGTAGATGATAAATCACTCCTGACCCTATTCACCCCTAGTACTGTATATGCCTATTTTGCAATATAGTATCATTCTCAAATATACACTCACTGAGTACACACTTAATAAAATAGCCTATAGAGAACTTGTTGTGCCTGAGTTTATAAGTGTATAAACACATAACAATACAAGTACAGCGCGATGGATTATTTTAGCCAAGCTCGGAATGCACACAGTGAACCTAACAAATCTGGCTCTATGGCGCTGGTGAACACAAATGAAGCCTAGACTGTCCTAGGGAAGGCCTAGAAAGGCATTAAATAGCTATGAGATAACAAAGTGATTGACTTATAAAAGAACAAAAAAAAAACAACACTGAAGTAATTCAAAATAATGTTTACATATGCATATAATTTTTTAAACAAATGTCTGCCAGGAAGTTAGGCCTGCCTAATAACTGCTAATAAACTTCTTTAACCATCAATTTATTCATCTTTGTATCATGAAGAGCTGTGCGCAGAGTGTCAGTGTTTGTACTACTAACAAATTTATTCTAATATGTGCAGCTAATACAAATGCACAGTGATTTATAAGCACTATGGATTTATGATATAGCGTATCTATACCAGCAGTTTGATTAAAGGTTGATGAATGTCACAACTGACTTATAAAGCAATTTAATACTGTATAGTCAAGTATAAATTTCGTACACTATAGGAAATAGAAGCCATAGGAAGAAACCATTATTTCCTTCAAAAATTGCCTTCAGCCCTGCAGGCTTCCGGCAATTTTTTCAGGAAATAATGCCTCCTTTGACTTCTATTTCATATAGTGTATTCAAAACCAGACTATAATTGCTAATTAGTTGAAAATGATTATTATTAATATTAATTTTATTGTAATATTTTTGACAAATTTAAACCTGTGACTCTGGAGTCTGAAGGAAAGTATCTCACTACAGCCCCAATTTTTTCATTATCATGATTTTAATTGTAGTTAAGCTCTGCCCAGATTATCAAATTTTCTTAGATAAAAGCTGTTGTATGCCCATTTAATCAAGATATCCTCATATATGGTAATGATGTGATGTCACATCATGACCATATTTAGGCATGTTTTTCTCAAATAAAATGTGATAGTCTGGACAGGCCTTTATGATGTATTTTCACTAACTTCATAAATGCACAATGTCTTTTGTTGTAAATGTTTTGTATTTGTGTGCATTCCTGCATACGTGTGAAAGTGTGTATTAATGTATGTAAGTATATTTCAAAGTAAATAATCCATTTCATTTGTTCAGATAATAGAAACATTTTACATAGATTGTGTATGGAACTAGAGTATCTGCTTGAGGCAGACTCCACCCTCAGACCTGACATGGGAGTGCAAGAGCTCAAAAATGAGATGCATTCTTTGATGGGGAAGGTTGTTGCAAAGAGAAATCACCTGATAATCATCATAGACGCTTTGAATAAAATAAAAAGAGAAGGGAAAACAGCAAAGGTACAGCATTATGGAAAGCTTAGTAGCCTTATTAAAAGATTTTTTTTTTGTTCTAAATTTGATAGAAATGATAATGCCTGGAGAATGCTGCAGGGGCAGATCCACAGAGCCCCATGTATCCCCTTTGAAGCCCTGCCCAGACTATCAAATTTTATTTAACAAAAAACATGTGACATGCCTAAATATGGTCATGAAAACATCACATCATGACCATATATGGGCCATCAGTGTATTATTAAAAAAATGGGATAATCTGGACAGACGAAAACCTTAATTCTTGACCCTGATGATATATAGGGCTGTATTCATGATATAAAAATCAAGGGTGGACAAGGACATTACCACCAGAGGGCGTGGTAACCTTTTCATGATCCCTTATAGTATATAGTCTTATTAGAATCTCTATCTTATCAGTTCTATTAAAAATTGATATGAATTTATTAATTCTATGTACTGGTAGTATAAAATGTATTTTTTAAATGTCCTTTTTTATGGAATTTTTGTACAATTTTAGGTTCTTTATTGGTTACCTACCAGCCTCCCAGATGGAGCGCATTATATTGTGTCAACAGTATCATCTGACACTGAAAACATTACGGAATTAGTTGAACAGAAAAAATTCAAAATGCTCACCATTGCACCTCTGGATGCTGTGCTAAGAAAGGAGATATCCAGGGCAATGTTGATGGTCAGAGGTAAGGAGCTGTCGTCAACTCAGGAGCCAAAGGTCATTGGCAAAGAGCAGACGTCAAATCCTCTCTACCTCATGATTTTATTACAGGTTAGTACTCATTAGATATTGTTCCTAAGGTCCCACCAAAACAATAGTGTAAATGTATGTGAACATGTGCATTTGTGGGACACGTTGAATTGTGGGATAAGCACTACTTTTTACAAATAGATACTAATTATTGCTTTTAATAATGATATGTTTTTATTCAATATTTTTTATATAATTAATATTTTTTGTTGCTATTGTCAACTTATTTTCATTGTACTATATTTTTAGGCTTATATGTTTCTTTCATTTGTAGGAACTATGTAATTTTGGCAGTTTCTTTGAGTTGGATGATTATATTAATAGTTTACTTGAAGCAAATGAGTAAGTAAAAGTCAAACTTTACTGCAATAAAGGTAGAAACACAATGCATACAGTCACAACCAAGATACAGAGTGGCCTGTGTAGTTATTGCTTGTTTTAGAGAAAGGAGTGTTTCTGGATCAAAAAGTTGTTATGATTTGAACCCGGGGCTTTAGGATTTGATGACGAGCACCTAACCACTATGTCACAGCTCTACTTGACTTTACAGTACGTCTATGGGCCCTGTGAATCAAATTGTATTACAAAGTTTAACAGAAGTGGATTTGATTTGACTTTTCCATAAAAATGGAATTGAACCCATATGATTATTCCAAAGCTCCGTACAGTATTCTACTTTTATCACATGATTATTTTTTTCACCTTTAGCACAAATGGGTTGTTCCAGAAGCTACTTCACAGGTTAGAAAAAGACTACAATTCAGGTTCCAGCAAAAACATAGTTGAAGAGGTATTTCTGAAACAATTTTCTTCATTTGTCACTTTAACACCATCTTTGCAATCTGTCTCTTATACACATCTAGATGTGTATAAGAGACAGAAATGTGATAGTCTGGACAGGCCTTTATGATGTATTTTCACTAACTTCATAAATGCACAATGTCTTTTGTTGTAAATCCTCTGGCGGGACTTGGACCTGCAACCTCTCGCTGTCAAGGCGAGCGTCATAACCATTAGACCACAGAGGCTTCATGGGTGAACAGATTCAAATACCACTGGATACACTCCGTTACACAATAATTATGGCTAGAAACAAATACTTATATAATAATCATCAAAGAAAGGTAAATCAGTGTTTGAATAAAGGACATAATAATACATCGTGTAGCATAGCTTGATGACTATTATATAATTTAACAGTGTTAACGGCTATCTTGATTTATATTATATGCAACTATTTGTTTATAGCAGTAATACGTCCCAAAGCAGCCAATAGGCTCTGTTTGCCGGATCTACATCCTCCCATACAGTTTCTTGTACTTCTGGCTCTAATCGAGTCAGCATCGCATGACTAAGTTAAATCTGTTGACCTTCCTCGTCACGTCCACACTGTTTACATGGTCTTCTCGACAATCCATTGGCATTACCATGTTTGACTCTAGGTCGGTGTATCACTGTAAAGTCGTACTCATTGATCACCTCAAACCATCGGGCTAGCTGCCCCTTTGGGTTTTTAAAGTTCAATAGCCATCGTAACGATGCAGGATCTGTCCGGATAGTAATTTTTTTCCTGTAAAAGTACTGCCGGAAGTATTTGAGAAAGTACACTAGGGCGAGAAGTTCCCTCCTAGTCACACAGTATTTTCGTTCCACTTTACTAAAGCGTTTTACTTCCGTATGCCAAAACTCGTTTTTGCACTTGGGATAACACTCCACCGATACCAAAATTTGAAAGATACTGGTGTCAGTATCTAGTATAAATTCAGCATTGGTGTCAGGATATGCAAGAATGGGAGATTCTTGTAATTTTTGTTTAAGTACCTTGAATGCCCCCTGTTGGGCCTCACCCCACTCAAATACACAGGACTTTTTCTGTACGCTGGAACAATAGTTTTGCCAAAACAGAAAAATCCTGAATGAATTTCCTTTAATATGAAGCCAAGCCGAGAAAACTGAGTACATCACTTGCATTACGGGGTACAGGCCGCATGTTCCACATGTTATCAACACTTCCCACTGGAGACTGCAAAGAACACGTTCCATCAACCTCTTGAATGTAGAAGGTGCGTTGCAAAAGGTTGTAGTGTCCAACACGTACAACAAATGCAGACTTGTTCTGGGCATCCTCATCCAGTTCCACCTGCCAGTAACCAGAGGCCAAATCCAGTGTTGAACACTATCGCACACCGGCGAGAACATCAAGGAAATCATGAATTCTGGGTATAGGGTACGCATCTCTGATTGTTACATCGTTAGATTGGATTGGATTGGATTGGATTTATTCAGTGTAAACACCAAGGGCAGCCCATGAAAGTCTGAGACTTATTTCCAGTGGGTCCTTCTGTTAGTGATTGGGCAGTAAACTGGGAGACAATCCCCTACTCTTTTCCGAAGAGTGTACTGTATTCTTTAACGTGGACATGGGCCATAATGCACACAGGACCGACGGCTTAAAACGTCTCATCTGAAAGACGGTGCGCTCTTGTAACTTGTACTTCAGCCCTCTAGCTGAAACACAAGGAGAGGCAGTGATGGGAATTGAACCGGGGACCTAGAGATCTCCACGGTTCAGCGCGCACACTGTGGCTATCACCAGATTAGCCGACTTAGCTAAGCTGCTCTCTAAGTCGCCGACAGTCAACACAGAACCGCTTCGTACCCTCCTTCTTAAACACGAGTACCACGTTCGGATGTGAGACAACTAACTCGTTCCTCCCCTAGGCATAGCTCTAATGTCCCCATGTCAAGAATTCCACCAGAATTCTAAAGGAAATCCATGCCTAAGAGTCCTGTTAATTTTAGGTCTGCAAATGTAACCACCAAAGTGAAAGTTTTGCCCACTTTCACTTCCAATCTAGCACTTCGAATTGTACCTATTGGTTTCCCATCTGCTTGATGCAGTTCTGACCTGACTTTCCCTAAACTGTGGTCGCTTATCTGCACTAATCTGGTAATATAAGGAAGTAAACGAAGTATCTGTTGCCCCAGTATCAATGAGTAAATTTGTTTCTGTCCCTGCTACTACAGCCTTCACATGTAACCCATCTTTCAGGTTATACACAGGATTATAAGCTGTTAACTCTCATATTAGTTTAAGTTTGGATTTTACTGGCCCGCTCTGCTTTCCAACCTTCCCTTGGGCCTTGGGGTTGGTTGGCCATCGTTTCCTGACTGCCGTGGTACTTTACAATCTCGTAAGAAATGCCTGGTTCCCCACAACGGTAACAACAACCCTCGTTCCGTTTCCTCTGGTCCCGATACTCTCAGGAATAACCAGTCCCTTTACTCAGTGGCCGTTCAATTAACTTATCTGACAACAGGGACAGGGTTCGTTCTACTATTAAGCCGCATTGAATAATTTTCTTCTTCCCGTGCAGCATGTACATGTTTTTCGGCCCTGAAAAGGCACCCAATTTTTTTCTCCAACTGTTGAAATCCCTGCATGTTCAATGCTGCCAATATAGCTTCATTCAAATTTTCAAAAATCCCTTCTCGTACATCAGGGTCCCCCACAGCCTCCATAAAATGACCCTAGGCTAATCCCTCCCTCTGATCAACAGACATCGTTGGGTAGGCCCGCATCGCCATTTCACGTACCCCCTGTCCTAATTGTTGCAGAGTCTCACCATCTTTCTGCCTACGTAACATAAGTTGCAACAGATAATTTTTTGCCTGTTGGGCAGTTCGAAATCGGCGTTCCAAAGAATTTACCAATTCTTTGTACGTCACTTTGCCCTTCCCGAAAATTTCCCAACACTCCCAGTGCTGGTCCTTTTGAAGAAGCAGCCAGAAACGTAGCTGCTTTCTCATCAGTCCACCCATTGGCTACTCTACATGAATTAAAATGAGCAAAATATTCCCGCCAGGGTACCTTGCCCTCGTATCGATCTGGGTTAATGGCTGGCCGCTTCAGGGCCACCCCAAACATGTTTTTAAAGGCATTGTTACTGCTTATGGTGTTTTATGTATGCTTAATTTTCTTCTTGGTTCCCAGGCCCTTATTCAGCTTTTATCTACATTGTTTATTCCAAATTAAGTATCTTTATACGCCGCCTTTAATTAGCTTCTATTGTTATTTTAATTTCCATTTCCTTATACTTGCTTTACTTTGTATTTTCTGTCAGTTGTCCTCACACTGAGGAAGAACACAGGAGTGTTTGAAATATTTGTGATTTA